TGCTTCTCATCACATGCTCCAGACAGGCAATACGGTCGCCATTTTTTCAGTACAATAGAGAACTAGATGTGGCAATGGATCCCAGTTACTGTAGGTCTAGGTGAATAATATCTGAATTCCCCGGAGCATAACAGCAAAAATTCAAACTTTATTATTTGGACCGTTATTATAAAAAAACTCAGCGAACAACGATGTGAATGAATCTTCTAATCCACCGTCCATAAATCAAGATTTGCATTCCAATAGTAAAGAAAGACCAACCACCAAAATACAGGATTTCATGACACCACGAAATGGGTAATATTTGCATTGCTGAGCTTTTACGGCAGCTGGAAGTATGTTTTGAATGCTGAAACAATTGGCTAAGGAAAATAGAAGCAGCTGGAACTGCTAGAGCTTTTTATGCATCTAAGGCAGCATTGAATAAGTAGAGAAAGTGATTACAAGCCCGCAAAATAAATAATACCGCTGTTCTAATTAATTCTCTAATCGGTAATGACTAAATTTTTTCTGTCTGCCTTTAACACAAAGGAGAAGTTGCGCAACATATGAAGCAAACAAAAATAGCATTATTTGCTTGACATTAATGGACGAAACCGGAGGCATGCTGCACAAGATGAGGTTAGCATCGTCCAGTCATTCCACTGATCAGTGGGCTGTTGTTTATCTGGCAAACGGTCAGCAGCAGCAGGAAGGATGAAAAGAGAAATTGACCAAAGAAGTCAAGTTTCCGCTTAGTGCACAGTACTGATTGATTGAGTCCAAGTGTTTTCTTAGGCATCTCTTCATACTGCAAACGACAGAGTATGAAGCAATCCAAGATTCTGGTAATCTGCGGCGTGGATATCACATAAAATGTGATAGTTTTCATATTTTACGCTTCATTTTCTCCTACATAGAGGATAGATTTTTATCAGCCAGGAGAATGAACACGATCAACTCAAATTTTTTATATCAACCTGTCCTGGTAGTGTCTAAATCAACAGCTTTCTGACACCGTTTTAGAAGTTTGGTGAGTTTCATGTGGTTAACTGGTCATCACTGATTTTGGCATGAGGCAATTTTCATAGATCATCGCTTGTGTTGTACGCACACAACGACAACTGATATACCTGCTTCAGAACAAACGATTCCCAGATTTTGATATTTGCTATTCCATCCACCAATATTTTCTGCTTATTTTTGTCCTATGGAACACCAATATCAATTATTTCTGCTGCCGCGTTCCTGCGATCGAAGATTAATGTATTTCAATGATTGTTATCAACGGCACATAAATAGTACATTGGTGAAATTCAGCATTTTCATTGGATGAGAATATAGCGTCGTTACTCAAACTGTGCCTCAGTGAACCCCCAGCAGTTATTTTTGTATGATTTCTTTGGAGATACTTTGTGTTACACAAAACTGATCAATCTGTGACAATATATTGGAACGATTTCGTCACACTGTTATAAACATCTTGCTTTTATCTGAGACGTTTATCTACATATTTGATTATGTATTTCATATATTTCTTTATGAGCATGACACCTTCTCAGAATTATCCACCCCTTCGAAGGCAACCGAACGACTTTCCCAGTTCAGTTCCATTAGACATAAGGGCAGTATAGTGGCGTAAATTCAAAGCTACTTCTTCACTCTATTGATGAAATTTCATATTGCGGTTCTCCTCCCTACCACATGATCGCTGTCATGAAGCTTTAGCGGCATATACTCTTTGTCAGCTTCTACTATGGCTTTATGCAAAACTGAATCTTTCCTCAGAGAGGACGCACACACAGTCCGTTCTTTTTATTCGCAGACAGCAGAAACACTCAGCAGATCCCTGCGCAGTACCTCTGGGAAATATAACCTGACTAGAAATCGAATCGAAATTGTCGAAAGAGAGAGAGAGATAGGTTTATTACAGAATAGCGAAAACTCTTAGTACTTAGTGAACTGAAATTCTGAATTAGTAGTTTGATATACAAACTTGATTTTGATGCTGCCATAATTTCTCAGCAATAAATATTTAAAATTTTAAAATTTTAAGATATTAATAATACAGTATAATTACATGAAGTTAAACCTTCGTACGCCAGCTAATTTGGCAATCTGTCAAACTTTCTGCAATTACTTGCTGTTATTTTAGAAGGCAGCGACTACCGAGAGCGAACTAAAGAATCAGGAATATTGATCGACGTCGTCGTCGGGCAGCCGCGGAAACTGAGTAATCGCAGAACACAGCACTGAAGTTTATTTTAT